CGCTGTCAGCCTACCGGCATGGAGGAGAAGGTCATGGCGACGACTTTCCGGCGATCTTGCTTTGCCTGATGCAAGAGGCTGGCCCATCTCTGTTGAACAAGGCTCGAAGCCGTGGACACCCTTGACCCGACTGCAACGAAAGCTACATTCCAAAGTCTGCCCAAGTCTTGAGTGCAGGGCGCGGGCGATGAAGTCGCTGACCTTGGAGGCTGGAAGTTCTGAAGCGAAGAGGGCACGGTTAGAGCTCTGGAGTTTGAGTTTGAGGTGCAACATGAACGTTTCTCATAGGATCCGCAGTCTTACATGTGTCCTTGCATGCAAGGCTACATAAGGGAACCTCGAGTTTCGAGCTTCAGGCCTGCTGCTGGAACAGATGTGTGTCCAGCCGCTAGTATTTCAAGTGGGTAGTTGTCAAAAATATGGTTCCCCCTCTGGGTCCCTATTATAATACGGCACCTACTATTTAGGGTACCCCAAAAGGGACCGTAATTTTGACGACTACCCATGTGTGACGGATTTGAAGCCATCTGAGCCCGAAGCCCTGCGACTTGCAGGTTCACACCACGGCATCACCACAAAAACGACAAAGGCTCTCATTCTTCCAAGCCCATGCAAACCTCTATGTAAATGCAGTTGCTTCACAAAATCTGGCCGTTCCAGAAAAGAGGAAATGAACTCAGCAGGACATCTATTCGCAAAACCTCGGACGTGATTGGTGATAGAAGCCTACAAAAACAACTCAGCACTGTTATCCGACACTACCAAGATAACCAACAGTAGTAATCATTCGCAGGGTTGTCGTTTGACCGGGGTCCAGAGCTGTCAGAGCTGAATTTCTGACAGATTCCATCCTAGGAAACCACTGGGTGGCAATGCTCACAACACTTGTGAAGTCCTAACCCCCCCAACCCCGGTGATAACTTCGCACTGTCGAAGCACCTCACACATTCCCTGCCAAACTTCCATAAGAGAGGTTCAGGTGGCGAACCTCCGCATCCAGTTGGCAGGAGCCCTGGCGAAGGAAGATGAAGTCCTCAGTGACTTAGTGCTTCGGGCATAAGGGGCTCAGGCTTACGGCGATGTACTGCAGGCCGGGAATCCATCCCGCAAGCCAGTGCCATGGATCCCGAAATCGTAAACCTTCAGCCCTGAGAGCCACATGCCTCAACTTAAGGCCCTGAAATCTATATAGATCGCAAACCAAAGCAAGCGAAGCGCTGCGCCTGCCAGCCGGGTCCATTTCTTTGAAGTAGCAACGCATCAAAATTACTGTGGTCAAGCTGGTGACTTGGTTTCTGAGGATGCAGGCCGTGAGCCTCATCCCCTTCTCGGCCAAAGTAGCAACCTGTCAGAAACCCCTAAAGACATGGACAACACACAGGTATCGCAATGCCGCTGGCAGAAAAAGTTCAAGCCTGAGCAGCATTGGAGAGAGCAAACCGCACTGAAATGACAAGGCCGTAAAGCACTTGCATTGCTATTTCCGCTCTAGGCGACGTTGAAACATCAAACCAGTAGGGTCCATGAGCCGTCGGGCATGTTGCTGCACCCGCATGCCTGCTCCCCAAGCGCTACAGGACCTGAGCAGACATTGGGAAGCGGCGGCGTTTAGGCACCTGGCTGTACATGATGTCTAAGGCTTCCTATAAGGCTTCATGTCAAGGATTTACGATTCGTTCCGGAGTAGAAAATTGCACAAACTTGGAGAAGAGCTCAGATTCCTTCAATCAGGTTCCCGGATGTGAGTAAGATGCATGTTTTTTCATGATGCAATGAGCATTTCTGTATGATTTCTTTTTGCCTCCCACACCAACACCCAAACCCTACCCCCAAACGGCTGAAAATCCTCGCAATGTTGTCTGCCAGCCCTCGTTCTGGGCCACCGCAACTACCCCTTCTCACTTCAACCATGAACCCCAGACGGTCAAAACCCACAACCCTACCCGGTTTAGGGGTCGGAACAACCCACATATTGAAGCTGGATGGGTCGTGCAGCTGAGGACCTGGCTGACCGGCACGATTAAGGGAACATTGTGATGGCGCAGTTCCTGTCAGTGCTGGTTAGAGTTCCTGGCTAGGGGGGTTCCGGCCTACCTCTCCTCGAGACCACAGTCGCTGTAGGTGTGAGCTTCCAAGCCGGTGCAAAAAGGCGTTGGAAACCTAGGCCAACGACCCTAAACACGGTGAACACTCCATTTCAGCATCCAGAACCCCTATCCCTAAACTTAGACCCTAAAAGCCCTCCTAAACTCTCAGCATCTGAACTATACAGATTCGCACTGGTGACATCGTCGACGGGCATGGTGGAATCGATGCTATGAGGGCCTTCTTAAGTAGTATGGAGCTTCGGGGTAGAGTAACACAGAAATTAGACGGGGGCCCGGGGGTCAGGCTTTAGGGCAAACCCCAAACCCCGCAACCCGAAACCAAACCGTACCTAGAGCCCCTTTCGGACACCTCGGCCTGCTGATTTGAAGCGAGGATGTTGGAGGGGCAAGGCCTTGGCGCGAAGTCGGAAGATGCTAGGCACAGCAGTTTGAGGTTTTGAAGTGGCTTCAGGTTTGACAAGTCAAGGCTTTCATGCCTATGTACCGGCCGGGATGGGTTGCAGTCTAATTGTCTAAATCTAAATCCTACTTGGAGGTTCATGGGTAGTTATACGTGGGGCTGTAAGCCCCCTAATATGGGCTAGAACTATTGCTATCCTACCGATAACCCTACATATAACTACCCATACACCGCCAAGTAACTGGTTCATAGGGCATATGGGCCCTTCTTTACAGAAAACAGACGGGAGGCTGCTAGAAAGCTACCGATCAAGGTCTGATCGAAGTGTTTTCCGGTCTATTCTAGTGTGACCCTAAGAGGGCTCGACAGTATATCATGCCAGAAGTCTGTACAAGAAGGCTTTGTCTACATAACATGCACTTGGGTACTGGAAGATTCTGCTTTGAGGCTTTGGAGCAGCCAAGTTCAGGCTTCAATTGCGGTCCAGGACTTCGGACACAGTTTTCCGGCTTCTGGGGTTTAGAGTTTTAGGGTTTATGGGTCTTAATTTAGGGGTTTAGGGTTTACGGGTTTACGGTTTATGAGTTTAGGGCTTTAGGGTTTATGGGTGTTAAGTTGAAAGCTTCAGCGCAGGCCTTTTCACGCGAGGATTCAATCCGAGCACATTTGGGAGTTTCCGAGAATAGGGGACCCTAAGATAGCACCCTAAATAGTAGGATCCTTATTATAAGGACCCCAATATAAGGTACCCCTAATTTTCGGAAACCCCCATTTGGGGCATCTGGGGCCATCAAGAACCGTCGTGCAATGCTCCCGGGTCGTCGGTCAACAGCTGGGTCTGATGCCTTCTTCCAAAGGCTAAAACTTACATGTACAGCAGTATTTCAAGTAGCGGTGCTAGGCGTGCAGTCGTAGTGGGAGTGGCAGCAGTATGTAGCAGGAGAGTCGCAGCACCAGCTGCAATAAGGAAAACAACAATGACAACAGTAAGTTATTAAACAGTAATGACAGCGGTGGTGGTGGTGGTGGTGGTGGTGGTGGTGGTGGTGGTGGTGGTGGTGGTGGTGGTGGTGGTGGTGGTGGTGGTGGTGGTGGTGGTGGTGGTGGTGGTGGTAGGAGCAATAGTATCAGTAGCAGCAGAAATTAGCAGCAACAGCAGTAGCAGCAGCAGGAGGAGGAGTAGTAGCAGCAGGAGGAGTTATAGCAGTTTTAGCAGCAGCTGGGCATGAGCAGCAGGAAAGGAGTCGTCTTATCACAAGATCTGGGGTTTGCCAAGAGCCTGGAAGGTGTCTCTATCAAACCCAGTATGAAAACCCCCCGGAGGATTCCGAAGCGCCCAGGGTTATAGGACTCAGGACTTGATGCTTTCTTTAGGGCTAAGCTAGACATCCATTTCACGCATGGGCGAAAGGATGTATCTGGGCTAGTTTGAAAGCCACTGCCTTGCTCAGTTCATCCACAACTCTGAACTGTGTAAACGGAAGCGTCGCCTACAAAGTCACAAACTGATTTGGACCGACTCGCAACAGGCCATCTTCAACTTGATGCTTCATCTGGGCCTTCGTATTGCGGTTGTAGACCCCTTCGGGGTGCTGCAAACCAAGAAAAGATTAGAAGACGCCCCTGTCAAGAGGAAACGACCACTCTACATGCTTACTATGCTTACCACTTCTAGTTCTATCTCGATTACAACTGCTATTACTACCAAGTTTATTCACACAATAAAACCCTATAGAAACAACGATCGTGTTGCTTGTATAATCTGATGAGTGATTTCAGGTGTGGTGCTCTTTCGTGGGCTTCTCCTTTCATCTCAAGCAGATCAGCGGGCAAAGAGCGCGGGGAGTATGTGGTCTCGTCAGCTCGTGCACTTTATAGAATAGGGTGTCCTTGGAAATTACTACAGGGCCTAAAACCTACCTATACTCTTTTGGGGGTTCCTTACTTTTTTCATGATGGACACCCAAAACCCTAGTCTAATTATTCTGGCCCCTATAGTATAGTGGTCTTTAAAGGCTTAAGAAGCGGTTCCAGCCAGGGCTCCCAGAGGGTTCCGGGGCTATGCATTTCCGGTGTTGAAGCTTAACGCAGGTTGGGTTTAGGGTTTATGTAGGGCTTAGGCTTTAGAGTCGGGGTTCGGGAGCTCTAGAGGTCAGCAGTTCGTAGTATTTTGGGCTTGCCTTCGTCTGTTGCAACATTCCTTGCCTCGGCTACTGGTCTCAGGAGACTGGTTCCTCCCTCAAGCCCACGCCGCAGCTCCCAAAAGGCACGTTCCCAAAAGAACGCATTGGAGGGCCCGGAAGGAGATAATATGTGGGACGGAGGGCGGGGAGCTGAGCAAGCAGTAACAATGTATATGTGTTTGTACATATGTATATGTATGTAACTCTACAATATATGTATATACATATATGTATATGTGTACATATATGTATGTAAATCTGTGAGTATGTGTGTATATATATATGCAATGGGCCATCAAACCCAATTCTAAGAGTCAGAGCTCATGGAAGGATTCCGAACCTGGTTGCTTAAAAACTTGCTGGCCCCTTAACCCAGGAGCTCCCACTGCAGTTCCACTCGAAAATGGGCCTCAAAAATCACCTAGGGTTCCCTTTAAAGGGGTCTATAAGGGCTACTATGAGGGATCTCTCAAGGGTTCTATGATATAGGGGCCTTTCTAATCACCTACACTGTTTTTTGGGGGTCCCTCGTTATAGTTATAGCATAATTATATACCCCAAAACTTTTTCTAATTATGGAGGCCCCACCCCTGCTTGTAAACCCCTTACGGCCCTAGAAAAAGATTTTGGGTGTCCACGACGGCCCTTGGGCCAAGCGAAATCGGACAGCGTGACGATACCTCAAACCTTCACAAAGTAGCGGCAAGTAGTAAAACCTAAACCTGGAACACCACTGTCGAAACCATATACTAGGGCTTAAGACGTCAGGAAATTTGAGATGAAGTTGGAGTAAGATCCTCAGGATAATGGCGCCTAAATGAGGCACGCCCTACTCTTCAGAAGCTCCTATATCCTGACACCTCCAAATCCTTGCACTTTCGATTTCCGGCAGCAAAGGATGATCTCAACCATCCAGACATGGCTGCGATGTACATGATGCGGGCAGTCCTTGCTTGTCAACTTGGCTTGCACCGGCGCAAGACCTGCTGCTGTCCCCGTTACTATCACAAACGTTAGGATTTCAAGCTTCGGGTGGAGAGCTTGTCGACATCCAAAGGCTGCCCAACATGACAGAACTCCGCCCTAACGCGGGAGTTTCGAACTACAAACATACAGTACGCGCAGCCCTGGAGCTGCGCTGGTCAACTGCAGGTGAGCAGCCTGGCGCCTTTTTGAGTGACATGCAACATGCAACCAGAGAACTATGGAACACAGACTCAATATTATTATTCTCATTAGTAGTAGTATTATTATTAGTATTATTACTATGTTATTGAATACTGCTGTGCACATAGGCTGAACTGTGCCGAATGACCTTACGACAGTTACGGTAATTGCTCTACGCGGCTGCCGTTGCTACGTGATGGCCTTAATTACACACAGACGTAACCATGTCTCGAAAGCACAGATTTCTTGTTGAGACCCAGGATGCACAACTGCACCTGACACTAAAGGATATCTCGCCAATGCAGCGCGGGTGAGCGTTCAAAGGCCACTCACCGGGGCAGGAAGAAGTCTCCTGGCAAGATCGATCTCTTCCTAACGCACATACTCGAAACTGTGCCTGGGGTTTCAAGGTTTAGGCGCATCTGAACGTCGCAGCGGGAATATTCAAGTCAACTGACAAGGCACACATGTCAGTGTTCACTAGACATATACAGCAGTATGTCTTGAGTCTAGGTAACATGATAATTGTACAGTACATACAGACGCATGTATACATACCTACATGCCTACATGCAATGCATGCCAGCATGCATGCATACATGCATGCATACATACACACATGTACACATGCATGTATACATACACACATGTACACATTCACATGCATGTATGCATACATACGTATACAGATACATACACATATACATATACAATACATATACATAAACATGTACATGTACATATACATATGCATGTACATATACATAGGCATATACAGATACATATACATGTACATATACATACACATAAGTCATACACATACACATGCACATACGCATACACATACACGTGCATATACACATACCCATACATGTACCCATACCCATACGCATATACCTGCATACATACACAAATACAGGCGACAGACGACCAAACAAACAGGCAGACAAGCGACAGACTGCCTGACTGTCTGCCTGACGGACTGACTGACAGAGTGACTGACTGACATTGCAGCCTTCTCCAGACACAGGCAGTTTGATTCCACACTTTGCCGAGCCCGCTCTGTTCTGCTCTTGCAGTACATCGATTCGACAGGTGAAGGGTGGAACGTCCCTGAGACCCAACACGGCGAGAAGCAGCTCTGGCGATGCAAACCCCACAAATGCTGGGAAGCCTGGAGTTCGGAATGTGAATGTCATTCGGTTTAGGGTTTTGGGCCACAGAGCACGGTAGACTGAAATGTGAAGACTTGTAATCTCACACATCCCTACTACCCCACACCCTGAACCCTAAGCCCCAAAACCCCTAAACCTAAACAGCCCTGAGGCACCTGAACAACCTAAACCTTCAACCCTGAACTCCGCTCCATGCCTGCAGCTTAAGCCACTGCGAGCTTCGCGCAGGCATAAGCTGACCGCGGCGGCTGTGGCCTTGGGAAGATCAGGGCTTGAGGATTTATAGGCTTTAGGGCTTTAGGGATTTAGGGCTTTAGGGACTTTAGGGTTCAGGGTTTTTAGGGGTTTAGGATTTAGGCTTTAGGGCTTTAGGGATTTAGGGCTTTAGGGTTTAGGGGTTCAGGGTTTAAGGTTTTTAGGGGTTAAGTAAGGATTTAAGCTTTAGGGTTTCAGGGCCCAGAGACTCC